AGTTCAAATCACTGGTAATGCAAGCAGCTGACACTTGTCTCCCGCCTGGTAGTTCTGTGGACAGCAGGTATTAGTGAGGAGACAATAGGGAGGACAGCCTCAGGGCAAGACTTCCGGTTGAATGACAGGTCTTGAGCTACCAGTAGAAGCCATCTGGATAATGACCTATGAGTAAAATCAGGTAAAGACAACACACGCCTGACAAGCTCTACTCTGGTACTAGGGAAAGTCTCCCACCAGAAAACATAGGTTCCAGCCTCTGTGGCCCAGCCTTCTCACACTTTCCTCTCCTTGGTATTGCTGAGCTTGGTGGGGCCTCGACTTTTCTTATGCTTTTTCTTATTAGTGTTTCGAGTCGAGGAAGGAAGAGACAGCTCCATCTCCCTTTTCTTGGCATCCCAGTCTGGGTCCCGCTGATCCAACAGCAGCCCCTTCTGCCTGGCGGTGAGGCGGTGGTCCTGGCACTCGGGCTCGGCCCTAGGAGATGGGGAGACAGTGGCTCTCAGAGAGCGCAGGCGAGCCTGGCCCAGCTTTGAAAGGGGCGTCTCTTTCAGGCCTCTGCACACACCCTGAGCACCTCGGGGGTCCATCCCAAAGGAAAGAGGCCACGTTCAAGCATTTCCAAGTGTACACTTAGGGAGGACTCAGACACTAAAGAAACCACTTGGAGGTGGAGAAAACCGGTGCACCAAGAGTAAGGTGTTGACAGAATCAATCAGTTAGCACTTAGCTTGAAGAAGGCCCTGCTAATTCTGAAAGTACTCACTATTTACACAGGTACACATCTTATTATGAGGCTGTTTTCCTTAACTTACTTGTAATTTTATTTTTTTCCTAATTATGAAAGCCATATCTATTCACTGTAAAAAGTTTAAAAGTACAAAAGCACATAAGGAAGAAAATAAAAATTACTCATAATTGCAAATGTACTGTATGTGTAGATAGATGCACATGAAGAACTAGTTATAGATGATAGATAGGGTGGTAAATAGAAAAGTAGATAAATGAATAGACTGCCACACACTCAAAAAAAATGGGAAGTGTACATATTATGTACCATCCTATACAATAAAGATGTAATATACAAATGGTTGTTACGAAATGACCAACTGCGTAACGATTGGATCACAGATCAGCGGGAGGGTGGGGCAGCAAGCTACAAGTGGGTGGCGGAGCGCTATAGGAGGGGGTAGGGCAGCAAGCTATGAGAGGGGTTCAGGGGCCGGGGGGTAGGGGGAGCTACAGGATGGTGGGGCAGCGGGCGGAGAGCTTCAGGAAGGTGGCAGTGAGCTACTGGCTACAAGTGAGCAGCGGAGAGCTACAGGAGGGGGCAGAGCAGCAAGCTATGAGTGGGGGCGGGGGGAGCTACAGGAGGGCAGCAGCGAGCTACTGGCACACGGATTCATGCACAGGGCTACTAGTTTTGTATATGAGGCCAAAGGTAAGTGTATAACTTGCTTAAAGAAATTGGTAAAAACCACTTCATAGAAATAAAACTTGAGCCAATATGAAGATCAATAGAATTTGAGAGGAAAGATGATGATACAGGCAGGGCAAACAGTATTTTAAGTACAAAACATTATACAAAGCACAGCTCATTCAGAGGATAGCAAGTCTGCTTGGCCCTCAGCCCCCATTCTCCCAACAAGCTGGGAGTGATCTCCCAATAATCAGACCACATCTATTGTGCCCCCTCAACATTCACTGAACCTCCTCTGCTCTGCTCTTAGGATACCAGTCTTGCTATTTATGCAAACAAGTTATCTCACTCCTAGACAGGGAAATTCTTGATGTCCCAGTACTGTATCTGATTTATCTTTCTATTCTTTTTAGTATCTAGTTCAATGCCATGCATATAGTAGGTCTCCAAAGTATTTGTTGAATGAGAGATGTACTACTTAGTGAGGCTGGATCAAAAAGTTGAATTGTTCTGCTAGGGTCCCGAGAAGGTTCAGAAAATGGTCAAATACTGTCTAGGCTTCTTTAAAAACTCTCTTGTACATCCTTTCTCTTCATCATCTTCAACCAGGAGCTCCCCTGCTTACAACATGAATTTTTTAAAATATATTTTTATTGATTTCAGAGAGGAAGGGAGAGGGAGAGAGAGATAGAAACATCAATGATGAGAGAGAATCATTGATTGGCTGCCTCTTGCACGCCCCCTACTGGGGATCGAACCCTCAACCTGGACATGTGCCCTAGACTGGAATCGAACCCTGGACCCTTCAGTCTGTAGGCCGACCCTCTATCCACTGAGCCAAACCATCTAGGGCAGTGGTTCTCAACCTTCATAATGCCGCGACGCGACCCTTTAATACAGTTCCTCATGTTGTGGTGATCCCCAATTTCATTGTTACAAATGGAACATAATTAAGGCATAGTGATTAATCACAAAGACAATATGTAATTATATATGTGTTTTCCGATGGTCTTAGGCGACCCCTGTGAAAGGGTCGTTCGACCCCAAAGGGGTCTCGACCCACAGTTTGAGAACCGCTGATCTAGGGCCTTACAATATGAATTTTTAAGAAATGGTCGGCAAACTCATTAGTCAACAGAGCCAAATATCAACAGTACTTCTTCAAAATAGACTCGCCCAGGCTGAAAACCGACTTCTGCGCATGGGCCACAAAGTTTCAATCGCACTGTACGTGCACGGCCGCGTGGTATTTTGTGGAAGAGCCACACTCAAGGGGCCAAAGGGCCGCATGTGGCTCACGAGCCGCAGTTTGCCGACCACGGCCTTAAGTGATCTCCTTGCCTGGAATCCAAGTGCCTCCACAACATCACTGCCTCTTCCACTACAGGAGTGGCTCTGCTGATCAGCCCCTAATGAGCCCACACTCATATGCTTGCCCATCTCACTAAGGTCACCCACACGTCCACCCAACCTTGTTCTACGCTTCTCTCTACAGGTGCGATGCTCTACTTATCCAGGCCCCTCATTTCTCCACTATCCCACTACCTTCTCACATGGACACACACTCTATGAACACTTCCAACTGGGTGTCTTTCCTCTCAATCAAAAATCTTTCTCCCTCCTTCATTAGCCAGCTCTTAGCCATCTTTTAAGGTCCAGATTAATTGCCTCTTAACCAGGATTCCTTCTCTCAAAACCCCATGACTGTCAGAGGGAAGTTCCCTGTGGGAGATGATGATAAGCAGAGATGACTTACACATGATGCGTTTTTCTGTCTGCTCAGCACTGTTTGCCCAGCTTTCCTGGTAACCGCACTGCTGACTATTTGGAGGAACCACTCCTCCCCCACTCAGTTATTCTGGGGTGGCTTTCATGCCCAGCCGTCCACTGGTCACTGGGCAGGGGCTGAGATTACTCAGAGAAAGTCAGTGAGGAGAGCCAAGAACAGGAGCAATTTCAGCATCTAAAAAGCAGCCAAAGTAAGAGCTTAGACCAAATTATGAGAAGTAATAGTCAGATAAGTAGAGGAGATTTAGACGAGAGTAGCTTCAGATAAAACAAGAGAGAAGAGTTTGAAAAATGTCAGATATCAAATTAAGTGGAGGTAAGATGTGAATTGAGAAGAGGCCATTGATAGAGCAACAAGACTCCCTGGTAACTTGGATGAGAGCTGATTCAGCACAATGATAAATATTACACCATGTCCCATTTTCAAACCTGGTGTCCTACCCCTCTTATCTGAGATCATCTTTTCATAATCTACAACAATAATTACAATAATTATATATTGTGATATTAAAATTATAATAATGTATAATTATAAAAATTATAATTTTGTATAATTTAAAAATAATCAACTTTACATAATGTAACACATTACAGTTTCCACAGCGGATTCGCACTTCAGCGAAAAACTAATCAAAAATAAATCAAACATACCCTGGCCAGTTTGGCTCAGGGGATAGAGCGTCGGCCTGCAGACTGAAGGGTCCCAGGTTCGATTCCAGCTAAGGGCACATGCCCAGGTTGTGGGCTCGATCCCCAGTGTGGGGCGTGCAGGAGGCAGCTGATCAATGACTCTCTCTCATCATTGATGTTTCTATCTCTCCCTGAAATCAGTAAAAATATATTTTAAAAAAACCTCAAACAATAGTTGCCTGGATTTCTTCATTTTATTCTCATCGACCTGCGATCACTGAGTCAGCAGAGACTTGATCACAAGCTCCTCTTTCCCTGCCCTTCCTTCTTGTTTGAAGAAATGGAACTTACTTCTCCAGGAATGCCACACAGGCTTTCTGCCCATAGATCTGTGCGATCCTCTTTGGCGTGTCTCCAAAGAAGTCGGGGGCATCGATGGCGGCATGCAATGCGTGGAGCATTTTGAGCACAGGCAGATGGCCTGACTCAGCTGCAAAGTGAGCTGGGGTCCAGCCCACATCAGTTACCAGGCAGGGTCTGGCTCCGCACTGTATGAGGAGCTTCATCACCTCCATATGCCCTTACATGCACCAAGAAGAAAGAGAAGGTTAAGATGAAAATGTCTCCGCTGGCCCAAGGCCACGGTTAGTCTAGAATTGAGGCGGCCGGCAAACTTTTTAAACAGGGGGCCAGTTCACTGTCCCTCAGACCGTTGGAGGGCCGGACTATAGTTTAAAAAAAAAACTATGAACAAATTCCTATGCACACTGCACATATCTTATTTTGAAGTAAAAAAACAAAACGGGAACAAATACAATATTTATATTTGCATGTGGCCCGCAGGCCGTAGTTTGAGGACCCCTGGTCTAGATAGCACAAAAGAGGGGAAGACATTGGCCTTTGAGGCCCCTCCAGCTGCTCAGCATCATTCCCTCCTCCCTTTTTCCTCTCAGTACCCCACCCTTACCCCCAGGAACCAAGCTCTCACTCACCCAGGGGCTGAGGCCCTCTAAATATTCCCTCTACTCCCTCCCAGACACTCCCCTCCCAGCCCTGCCTAGAAATCTTGCTTTCCCGCCCAAGTCACTCTACCCCTGCCTATGTTGGCACTGGCAAGCTCCCTGCTTTTGGCAGTCTCCAGGCTGATTTCAAAAACAAATATTTCGCTACAGCATGGATGGACCTTGAGGGCATTATGCTTAGCCAGATAGAGAAAGACATGTCAGACAGATACCGTATAATCTCACTTATATGTGGAATCTAAGTAACAAAAGCCAAGCTCATAGGGACAGAGAACAGATTATATTGGTGGGTTCCAGCTGTGGGAGATGTGTGACATGGGTTAAGCAGTGGTCGGCAAACTGCGGCTCGCAAGCCACATGAGGCTCTTTGGCCCCTTGAGTGTGGCTCTTCCTCAAAATACCGACTTCTGCGCATGGGCCACGAAGTTTCAATCGCACTGTACATGCGCGCCCGCACGTGGTATTTTGTGGAAGAGCCACACTCAAGGGGCCAAAGAGCCGACTGTGGCTCGCAAGCCACAGTTTGGCGACCACTGAGTTAAGGTAGTCAAAAGGTACAAACTTTCAGTTATAAAATACAAGGTCATGGGGACGTAATGTACAGCATGGTGACTGTAGTTAATAATTCTTGCCCAGCCGGGTGTAGCTCAGCGGTTGAGCGTCGACCCAGGAACCAAGAGGTCGCGGGTTCGATTCTTGGTCAGGGCATATGCCCAAGTTGCGGGCTCAATCCCCAGTGGGGGGCATGAGGGAGGCAGCCAATCAATGATTCTCTCTCATCATTGATGTTTCTCTCTCTCTTTCCCTCTCCCTTCCTCTCTGACATCAATAAAAATATACTTTAAAAAAATAATTCTGTGCTGCCTCTTTGATAGTTGCTAAGATAGATCTTCAAACTTATGACAAGAAAAAAAATTTATAACTAAGGATGGTGATGGATGTTAATTTGACTTTTTGTGGTGATCATTTCACAATATATATAAAAATCAAATTATTATGTTGTACCCCTGGAACTGATATAATGTTATGTCAATTACACCTCAATTAAAAATATTTGAAGTTTCACTTACAATATAGCTAGCAAAGATTAATTATACAGGCTTTCTAGCCAGATAGATGGGGGTTCATGCCTGACGATAAACACCACTTACTAACTATGGCACCCCGGATCAGCAATAGATGTCTAAGGCTCAGTTTTCTCATTTGTAAATAAAGGATATTACTACTTACCTCACTGAGTTCTAGTGAAGTACAAATGAAATCATTGATCTAAAGTACATAGCACAGTACTCAGCATATGACAAATGTTTGCTAAAAGGTGCCCTAGTATAGCTACCATGACATTGTACTTAAATTTCTACAAAATCCTCCAACCTGATTTCTCTGCAGCCAGTCTTGCTTCCTGCCAATCCATTCTGCATACAGGAACAAAACATATTTTTAGAAAGCAAAGTGGACTATAATACTTTCTTACTTAACACTTTTCAAAGTTCAATGGTATTCTATTGCCAAAGGCCTTGACAAGGCCATTGTTGAATTTTTGCCATTTTCCTCCTCCAATTTTATAACTAAGCCATCGTTAGGCATGGGGGATACAGCAATGAACAGACGAAGTCCCTGTCCTACTACAGGAATAATGCTCCCATCCTGCTAGAGGTCAAGAGGGCAGAGGATTAATATTAATTGAGAGTAGACTATGTGCTGGGCACTGTACACCCATTATCTCACTGAATCCTCACTACAAGACTCTAAGATAGCATTTTGTTCCCATTATGTAGATGAATAACCTAAGGCTTAGAGACATTAAATAACTAGTCAAGGTGCTACAACTAGTAAGTGGTGGTGCTCAGATTGAAATGTTCCATCGGGCATCGATGTCTCTCTCTCTCTTTCTCTCTTTCTCTGTCTCTCCCTTCCTCTCTCTCTAAAAATAAATCAATAAAACAAATAAAAAATGATATCCTTGGTTGAGGATTAAAAAAAAAAAGAAATGTTCTTCCGGCTACCCCTCACAGATGCTGATTGGTACCTTCATGAACAATAGACTGCAGGGGATGGACTCTGTTGGCATTGCCCACTCACCTTTGATTGCAGCCCAGTGAAGGGGGGTTCGGTCATTCCAGTCCACGTCCTTGTAGTTTGGGTCACAGAGACCTTTCTTCAAAATCTTTCTCACTAGAGTATAGTCCCCTGCAGCCACAGCTTGATGGAGCTTTGTCATGTCCGACATTCTCGTCAATTCCATGACAAAAACCTGTGGGAAAACATGCCACTTAGGAAATTATCTACAACCCTTTACTCCTAGTGAGGATTCTTTACCCTAAATTTGCATCCAGGGTTGCTTCATACGTGTGCTCTGCTGAGTGTACATTTAGATCTTAGCTACTGTGGTTGGTGCATGCCAGTCACCTGCCCAAAACTATCAATGGCTCTCCTCTGCCTACAGAACTCCAGGCTAAAGTCAGGGGATGGAATTTGTTCTTTGGTCTCAAACCACCTTCCAGGGCTAGTAGCGTGACACTGATCTGATTGTGTATTTCTGTGCCTTAAGCTCCTCATCTGTAGAATGGGTGTAATTTGCCAGGGTTGCTGTGAGGATACAGTGACAATCCTTGTGAAAAGCTTATTCTGGACACAGACCATATACTCTGTGGAAATTAAATACTATTACTCCATCAATTCAGGAGGTAGACAAAATATAAGCATACAAATAAAATGGCTAAATTATTTACAGGATTAAGACATAAACCAACCGTTCTCCAATTATAGTCTATAGATGCTTAGGAAGCCCTGAGAGTTTTTTAGGAAGTCCATAAGGTCAAAACTACTTTCATTATAATATTAAAATGTCATTGGCTTTGTACACTGTACTGAAAATTACCCTGATGGTTCACAAACAAAGGTGTAGAAAACTGCAGGCGCCTTAGCACGAAGAGGGGCAGAAGTGGGCAGTGGCCCAGACTGGACCAGCAGTCAGGTATCCTTTACCACCACACACATGCATTTTAAAGAATAAAAAAGCTAGTTTCAGTAAAGAAACTAAAGCAGTAAGAATTATTCATTTTTATCAAATTTTTACTCTTGATTACATGACTTAGTAAAAGGAATAAAAAAATAATGAAATATATCAACGTTTGAAATGTCTGCAGAACTCTGTCAACCAGTATTTTCTGTAGGACAAGTGTATGATGTTAGCAAATGCATGGGTACAGGGATCCATTCCAAACAGGCCAATGGATTTCAGTGTAATGAATTTTAATTTAGAGTATAGAAAACACACAGACCATTTCAGATTCCAACTAACATTTAAAGCACTCCCACTTGTCCAGTTTTGGTGTATATCAAAGAAAAATATTCACAATATTTGAAAAGGGTATAAAATACTCCTCCCTTTTTCAACTTCATATACGTGTGAAACCATATTTTCTTTACGTATTTCAATCAGAACAACAAACTGAATGCAGAAGTAGGTAGAATACAGGTGTCTTCTATTAAACCAAATATTAAAGAGATTTGACCAAAAAAAGCAAAACAGTGCCACTCTTCTCACACTGTTTGTTTTAGGAAAAGTTATTTTTCATAAAAATTACAGTATTTTATTATCTTGTAGGCTTATGATTTTTGCAAATGAATTAATACACATTTTTTTCAATGTTCTCAGTTTTAATTTCTAGTATAGTAATTATTGATAGCTATAATCCACATTTTAAAAACCCCCGTCTGGGCCTTGGCCAGTGTGGCTCAGTTGATTGTCATCCCATGCACTGAGAGATCACTGGTTCGATTCCCGGTCAGGGCACCTGCCCAGGTTTCGGGCTCAATCCCCAGTAGTTGGTGTGTAGAAGGCAGTCGATTGTTGTTTCTTTCTCTCTCTCCCTCTCCCTTCTTCTCTCTTTCTGTCTAAAATCATTAAAAATATTTAAAAAACAAACAAAAAAACTTCCCTCTGGGATTCTCAGTAATTTTTAAGAGTGTAAAGTCCTGAGACAGAAAAGTATGAGAATTACCGATATAACAAAAAAGGGGCTGAGATATAGGAAAAAGGAATGAGAACAGAGCCCCTAGAGAAGGGGCTGTTAAAAATGTCTCTTCCATCTTAACACTGAAGTGAGATTTCGAGAAACAGCAGCACCCAGGGCCTTCTAGAAATGCAAATGATTGGGCCCCAAATCAGACCCAGTGGGTCAGAAACTGGGGTGGGAGGAGCAATCTGTGTCATAGAGAAGAGAAGGAAGTACCGTAATCCACAAGCAAGCCCAATGTGTTAGGATGGCGAGGACTTTCTGGGGACAGAGGAAAGGACCTCTCACCAACACTAGGAAGTAAAAGGCACTTCTCTCTGAAAACAACCTAAGCCGGGTCCCTGAATGATGAATAAGAGTCTCTCTGAAAACAACCTAAGCCGGGTCCCTGAATGATGAATAAGAGTTATTTTGGGCGCTGACAGTGGTGGAGGGTCCCACAAACTTCTCTTGAAAAAGGTGAAATAGGACATTTTTTAGGCTCAGTCGACCACCAGGCAAAATCAAGAAGGTGAAATAGGACATTTTTTAGGCTCAGTCGACCACCAGGCAAAATCAAGACGATTAGGTAACAAGATAAACTCCTGTCCTGTTTATTATTGACTGCCAGCCTTCAGCCTGAGACATTCTCAGGGCAACCTGCCAGAGTGGGAGGGGCCTGGCCTGTGGGAAGGTCACTCACTGTGCGTAGGTGACGCCCAGATGCCAGCATGCTCTCTCTCCTCTCCAGGAGCCTGACTGTCACAAGTTGGTAGCTGGCAGGAGGCAAGGCAACTTGACTGGATTATGATTCTACTCAGTGCTCTATAGTTGCCAATAGCAGAGTCCACAAGGTGTAGGTGGTGACCAGCAGGACCCTGGGCAGCACAGCAGCAGGGTCAGGAGGAATGTGCTGGGAGTAGAGAGGGTATGGGGGGCACAGAGAGTGACCTCAGCTGGCTCTCCAAGGCTCACCGTACTTGCCCAGTGAGGCCCACCTCCACAGGTGGTGACCATGCGCCTACAGAAACAGGGAGGGAGCCAGATTTGGCCCGATGTTACCAACCTCTGGTGTATGTAAAGCATCTGGGATCTTGTTAAAATGCAGATCCTGACTCAGCTGGACTGGGATGGGCCTGTAACAAGTCCCCAGAGCATCTAGTAGTTCACAAACCACATTTGAGTGGCAATGTCTCTGCATCCACAAGGCGTTGGCAAGACCTAAAGTAAGGCAGAGGCGGTCTGGCTGGCTCCCTGGTGGGTGTAAACAACAGATGCCTGGGCCTCAGCCCAAAGTGGTTCAGCATGTCTGAGTGCGAAGGACAAGGACGGGCCTTTGTGCATGAAGTGGGTGCTGAGTATGTACATTAGGTAACAGAAGATGACAGAGGATTTTATCTTCGTGGCTTGTTTGTCTTAGTAGAAAACCCTTATACTGGAGCATTTGATCAATGATAAGATAACATGGTGAACAGAGGTACTAGACAGCTTCTACCCTGCAGGTATCACAGAAAGCCAAACCATTTTTAGAATCAGTGCGTGGGAGCCTCTTTCTTTGCTTGCCATTCACACAAACCTGCAAGCAGGTTTACACTTAAATTAGCCCCATTTGTTCCACATTTGAGTTCACACCAAGGAAATTCCACAACTTCCCATGGATAACTTATAATGTAAGTAGACATTCTCAATGAGTAGGTAGCTAAATTTATTTGCAGAGAAATTAACAAACTGATCCTAAAAGCTCAAATGCAAGGGACTCAGAATTGCCAAAGCAATCTTGAAAAAAAAAAAAAAAAGAACGAAGTAGGATTCACACTTCCTGATTTCTAAACTTACTACAAAGATACAATAATCATGACAGTGTGGTACAAAGTATGCCGTGTGGCAAAAAGGTAGACATATAGAGAAATGGAATAGAACTGAGATCCGGAAATAAACCATTATGTTTATGGTCAAATAACTGATTTTCAACAAAAGTGCCAGGAAAATTCAGTGGGGGAATAGTCTCTAAATAGTACTAACACAATTGGATAGCCAAAAGAATGAAGTTGGTCGTCTACCTCTTGCCATATACAAAACTTAACTTAAAATACATCACAGACCTAAATATATGTCCTAAAACTAAAACTGTTAGGAGAAAACATGGTGGTAACTCTTCATCACATTGGGTTAAGCCAGGAGTGGGGAACCTTTTTTCTGCCAAGGGCCGCTTGGATATTTTTAACATCATTCTCGGAGCATACAAAATTATCAACTTAAAAATTAGTCTGCTAGATTGGGTCAAACGTTTAATTAATTCACCCCTAATGTCTTGACAGGGCCAAACCAAACGATTATGCGGGCCTTATGCAGCCCATGGGCTGGACGTTCCCCACCCCTGGGTTAGGCAATGGTCCATAGATAGGACAATAAAAGCACAAGCAACAAATGAAAAAATTAAATCAACTGATTTCACTAAAATTAAAAACTTTTGTCCTGTAAACGATACCTTTGAGAAAGTATAAGCAACCACCAAATGGGAGAAAATCTTTTCAAATCATATATGTGATAAGAAATTTGTATCCAAAAAATATAAAGAACCATTAAAACTTAACAATAAGAAAACAAATAAGTCAATTAAAAATGGTCAAAGAATATAAACAGAAGTTTCTCCAAAACAAATATGCACATAGCCTATAAGCACATGAAAAGGTGCTCAACCCCATTAGTCATTAGGCAAATGCAAATCAAAACCATAATGAGACACCACTCCACACCCACTACAATAACTATAATAAAAAAGGCAGTAATAACAAGTGTTGATAAGGATGTAGAGCAATTGGGACCCTCATATACTGTGGTGGGAATATGAAATGGGGAAGCCACTTTGGAAAACAGTTTGGTAGTTCTTTAAAAGGTAAACATAGAGCAATTATATATGACCAGTAACTCCAATCCTAGGTATATACCTAAAAGAAATGAAAACATATCTCCACATAAAAGCTTGTACATAAATGTTCACAGCAGCATTATTAATACTAGCCCTAAAGTGCAAACAATCCAAATTTCCATGAATGGATAAATGCATAAATAAAATGTGGGATATTCATACAAGGAATATTAATTGACAATAAAAAGAATGAGGTTGTGATACATGCGACAACAAGGATGACCCCTGAAAACGGGCTAAGTGAAAGAAGCCAGTCACTAAAGCTCGCATGTTTGTATGATTCCGTTTATGTGAAATGTCCAGAATACGCAAATCTATATTGAA